GGGGGGGGGGGGACACCCCAGAATGCCCCTCCCCCAACTCCCCTCCCCACAGTAAAGGCTCCAGAACCCCTCCCCCCACAGTCACAGCTCCCCCCCCAGCTGCACTCCACAGCCCCTCTTCTGCCCCCCCACAGCCACACTCCACAGCCCCCCTTCTTCCCCCCAGAGCTACACTCCACACACCTCCTTCTGTCCCCCCAGCTGCACTCCACAGCCCCCCTTCTGCCCCCCCCCAGCCATGGCTTCCTCCCCCAGGACCCCAGACCCCCTTACTCACCAAGCCCGAGCTGTACGGTTACTGGGGCACTGTGGGGGGGGGAAAGAGATGGGGTGAGGGGGGAGATAGGCAGAGAGAATATGGGGGGCACTTCAACCCCCACCCCCGGGACAGGCAGGGGTCATGGACAGAGCAGGACCCAGGCTCTAGCCCCCCTCCCCGGGCTTCCCTCCTCCGGTCCCTGGGTCCCCCAGGACAGTCATGTGCCCTGGTTCTGTGACCCCCCAGCTGTTGGTCCTGGGGGCTCCCCCCACGTCCCACCCCACACAGGAGCCCCCAATGCCAGCTTGTCATGTCCCCCCTCCCCGCAGGCACCCCCTGCCCCCCCGCCCAGCGGCACCTCTGCTCTCCAGCGTGCGCCAGGCCCCCTTACCCCCCGCCCAGCGGCACCTCTGCTCCCCAGCGTGCGCCAGGCCCCCCTACCCCCTGCCCAGCGGCACCTCTGATCTCCAACGTGCGCCGGGCCTGGGCCCCCTACCCCCCGCCCAGCAGCACCTCTGATCTCCGGCCTGCGCTGGGCCCCTCTACCCCCCCGCTCAGCGGCACCTCTGATCTCCGGCCTGCGCCGGGCCCCCCTAGCCCCCGCCCTGCGGCACCTCTGATCTCCAGCTTGCACTCGGTCAGCGCCTCGCCCAGCTCGTTGGCGGCCAGGCAGCTGTAGGTGCCGGCGTCGAAGGGGCTGGGTTTGCGGATGTGCAGGGTCAGCACCCCCTGGCTGTTCTTCATCAGGAACTTGGGGTCCTCCCGGATCTCTACGTGGTTCTTCATCCAGATCACCTTGGGCTGGGGCGGTGGGGTCATGTGAGGGGGCGCCCGGACCGGCCACCGGCCAGGCCACCCCCTGCCTGTCCCCCCCATGGCCCTGTGCTCCCCCCACCTCCAGCACCCCCTCCTGTCCCCCAACTGCCCCCTGCACCCCCACCTCTAGCACCCCTTCCTGTCCCCCAACTATCCCCTGCACCCCTTCCTGTCCCCCAACTACCCCTGCACCCCACCTCCAGCACCCCTTCCTGTCCCCAACTACCCCTGCACCCCACCTCCAACACCCCCTCCTATCCCCCAACTGCCCCCTGCACCCCCATCTCCAGCACCCCCTCCTGTGGCCCCCAGTGGGAGTACAGGCCTGGACATACCTTGGGGGCCCTGGGGATGGGGGTGGGGGTCCCTTACCTTGGGATGCCCCCGCACTGCGCAGTTCAGGGCCGTGCTGTACCCAGCCACCACGGTCCGATCGACCAGGGGCGTCAGGACTCTGGGCGCCATCCGGAAGTCGTGCTCCTGGTAATCCAGTGGCTTAAAGATGATCCCTAGGGGAGGCCAGCGGGTGAGGCCCAGGGGTAGCAACCCCCCCAACCCTACGTTCCCCTCACCATCTCCACTCCAAGCCCCCCTGCTCTAACCACTAGCCCCCACTCCCCTCCCAGAGCTGGGGAGAGAACCCAGGAGTCCCGACTCCCAGCCCGCCCCGAGCGTGGGGGGACCCCGGCGTCCGGGCGCACCTGTTTTCTGGATGAGGGCGGTGTTCTTGGAGACGCCGGGCGCCTCGCTCAGCCCGCAGATGTTCTGGCTGTACACGCGGAAGGAGTACTCGTTACCCATCACCAGGTCAGACACGGTGCAGCGCGTCAGCCGGTTGTGCTCGTACACCGTGAACCACTCCTGGGGGGGGGAGAGAGCGTGGGGGGGGGTCAGGGGAGAGACGGGGAGCCCGGGCGGGTGTCACTAGCTGGACAGGTGTGGGGGGGGTCAGCGGAGAAACGGTGAGCCCAGGCGGGTGTCACCAGCCGGACAGGGGTGAGGGGGGGGTCAGAGGAGAGACGGGGAGCCCAGCAGGGTGTCACTAGCTGGACAGGTGTGGGGGGGGTCAGAGGAGAGACGGTGAGCCCAGGAGGGTGTCACCAGCCGGACAGGG